TGAGCGGATGAAGGAGTGAATGAACAAGTAAAAGAAAAAAAAACATGTGAGATCCTCTGATGAACAAAGCATTAGCTTTCTTGATCAAATCTGAGACAGAAGATCAAACCCAGTTTCTCAATCGCACACAATCACTTTTTATGGCATTACTGCCTAGGATCAAGTGCCTTGGCCAGAAACCAAGAAACACTATCTAGATGTCTTCCTGCAAGGTTATACTTAGAGGCTGATTTTTTAAAAACGTTCCAGCAAATTTCCTGGGTTCTGGACAAAGCCTAAAGGTTCAAGCTGGATTTCCCAGCTGACCTCGGGGGACAGTGTTCAGGAGGCCTGGAGGCTTGTCACGTTGCTTTCCATAGAGTCCTTTCAGGAAGCAGTCCCTTAGCTCTTGGACAGTCCTGTGGAATAGATGGAATGTAATCTGCAGGTGCTGGGAGGAGCCTGAGGGCTGAGCAGTGCTGACTGCTGGTGCTGGTGCAGAGCAGGGTCTTCTCGGAGCCTCTTCCCTGGACAGGCCTCCTTGGTGCTAACTTTTGTGGCTCATCCTATATTTTCTACCTAAAGCATCTTGCGATGTGCTGGGCTGGATCTAGCTGAATGCTCAATCACTCTGTTTTGCAAATGCAAAGCCCCTGCCTTGTGCCTTACCTGCGACTGGGCGGCTACTGGGGAACCCCGTGTCCCTGCACCCACCTGCACCATCTGTACCTGTTCTTCGGATTGACCTGTTCCTCTCTTGCCGCCTCTAGCAGTTATTACCCAAGCAGATGACGGAATGAGTCTGAGACAGAGCACTGCCTCAGCTATCTGCACAAGCTCCTCCCTCCCTAGGTTTTGCACCTCTCTGGCCTTTGACTTTTGGCACCCTCCCACTCTGCCTGCTGTGTCTCCTGCTCGCTGCACTGGACGTGCACTCTCAGGAAGCTGCGGAATTCAGAGCAGCAGGGATACTGCGTTTGGCACCATCTTCTCCGTTGACGACAGACACAGGAAGCGCTGTTGACTCAGGTGTGATTTCCCAGGGGTGCAGAGGGGTTCTGCCAGTATTCACACGCTGTCTGTCATTAGAGGAGTAAGCGGAAAAGGATCCAGTTCTGAGCCTTACGCGGGGGTCTGTCTTCTCAAGAAGGGAGAGGGACACTGTGGATGAGACCCAGAGCCGCCAACCCGAGGCTCCGCCGGCTCCCAGGAGGGCCCTTAGCTTGTGGCTTCCCAGCAAGACGGAGTCGGCTTCCGGAAAGAGATTTAATTTTCCCATTTGTCAGCTCTGCTTCACGGGGTGACACTGACAAAGACTGTGACCTCTTTGCAGTAGGAAAACTGACAGGAAGTGATCTGACGGACTCCTCTGTGGAAAATGGCGTTGGATGCTCACCCAGCGGGGGCTACACGCTTCACACCGCCCCTCGGGCCCTCGGCACGGTTCCCCTTGGCACGGTTCCCCTTGGCAAGACCGCTCACCCAAGAGACCTGAACTTGGTGTTTTTTTTTTTTTTTTGCAGTCCTGCCCAATAGAAGCCTGGGGATAGAAGGAAAGAAACAAACAGGAAATATGGACTCAGTGCTCACTGTGTGCTGCCAGCCATGAGAAATATCAAAACCATAAAACATGGTCCCTGCTCTCCCTCAAGGAGATTACAATATACTTGAGTAAATTAAAAACGAAATAAGAAAGTATTTGAACTACAGTTCGGTACCCTAGTCAGAGAGGGCCATGAGGCAAGGAATGATTAACTGAAAAATGATTGGAACAGGCTGTAATTGGAATTGAGAAATGGGAATTTGCTCTCTTTTTGGAATCCGGGCCTGGCTGGGCAAGTTGACTTATTCTAAAGAAAGCTGTTGTGTGGGGAAAAGGGCAGGAGAAAATCCTTTGTAGTTACATCCTGAAAAAAATCATCGAGGTGATGTTTCTTGTACCTGGTGGCTGCTGTTGCAGGCTGGCAAACTGGCTCTTTGGGGGATAAGAGTAAAGGACAGATGTGCTGGGAATCTTGTGAGTCATGAGCAGAAGACCTATTTTTATGCCCTCACAAACTCCAAAGGGGGAGGGAAGTCAGCGTTGGGGAGGAGATGGGGTGGTGTGGGGAAGAGAGGAAGCTGTGACGTAAGCCTCAAGCAACATGGCGGACGCAGGGATTGGATTCAGCTCCTGGTGGTGCTGGGGGACAATGACGTAATCTTCGAGTCTCTGACGACATGTGTGACTGTATAAAAGTGCCGGGGGCTGTTGGAAAGAAAGGAATTGAATCAAGATGCCCCTTCCCACCCCTGGCCCTGTCCACTGAAGAACAAGCCACCTTCTTTGTGGGTGAAGAACTTGTAAGGGGACAGGTTTCACATTTTTTCTCTTTCATACATATGTATGCTTTCCCTCTGATGAACAAATCTGAGGCCTTAGTGAGTCACTTATTCTATGAAAAGGAAACCAGGAAAAATCTCTGTCCATCAGAGTGAAGGAAATGCAAGGAGGTTTGCCATCTGTTTGAAGCTTCTGAATGAGAAATTGAAACACAAGTAAGTATTGGCCTCCAAAGGTCTGCTGTACAAATGGTGCAGTAATTGCATTACAAATTTTATTTTCCATACTGAAACTAGTACATGGAAAACCCCTGGAGATGTGGCAGAAGCAAACCCAGAAACCCTGGGTAGAGACATTTCTATAACGCGGGGTTCTTGGGGACTCATGGTGGTGAGAGGGGGAACAGCTCTCAGAGGATTAGCTCCTGATCAGAAGCTACAAATGTCACAGGGAAGTAATCCACCATGAGTCAAGGCACACGCAGCAGACAGAGGATGAGCAGTGCGAGATCCAGTCGGTAAGATCATAGGTTTAAAACTGTTAAATACATAAAAGTTTCAAAAATCACAACGACAGAGTGCGACATCCTGACAAAAAGACCGAGCAGAACTGTAAGAAAGCCAGAAACAAAACAAAACAAAAACAACGAATGCCCCAGTTAGAATAAGTAGATCAGAATTGAAACATAAAGCTGCATATCACACTGAAAGAACAAGTGAACTGGAAGGTGGATGCATGGGCATCATCCAAGAGCAGCCCACAGAGAAAGGAATAGAGATACTAAAACAAGGTCAGTAACCTAGAAGGTAGAACAAGAAAGCCCAGAATATCTTAAAAATTTTCAGAAAAAAAAAGAGAATTATCATAGGTCATTAGGGAATTGCTCATTAAAGCAAAACACCCCAATTAAACAAGATAGCATGATACCCCCCATTAAAATGGCAAAAATCCTGAATGCCCACAGCACCAGTCAGTGCTGGTGAGAACATGGACCAGCAGGAACTCTGTTCCTTGATGGCAGGAGTGGGGAAGGGGACAGCCACTTTGGAATGGAGGTCACACTTTCCCAAAGCTAGACAGACTCTCACCTTACAATCCAGCAGGAATGCTCCTAAGTATTTGACCATATGAGTCCCCCCAAAAACTGCACATAAATGTTTAGGGCAATTTTATCCATAGTGGCTCAAACTTTGTAATCACCAAGATGTCCTTAAGTAAGTGGACGGATGAATACAGTGCCCATCCAGAGCATGGAGTATTATTCACTAATAAACAGGAATGAGCTGTCAAGCCAGGAAAAGGTACAGAGGAATCAGAAATGCATGTTAATAGGTCAAAGAGGCCAGTCTGAAAAGGCCACATGCTGTACAATCAACTCATCGCTGTTCTAAGGCCTGGAATCACAAAGCTGTAGAGACACTGAGGATCGGGGTTTACAGAGTGAAATCCTCAGAAGCAATTCAAGAGAAAATATGGATTGCAAAGAAAGTAGCACCAATAAGATCAGCCGCCGTCTCACAACTGCAGTCCAAATCAGGAGGAAACTGGATGGCATCTTCAAAGACTGAACCAAAAAAATCTCTCTCCACTTAGATTCATATGCTCAAGTAATTCCTGAGCGAGAACAAAACCAAGAGCCACACATGCTAACTTCACGAAACCAAAAGGACCCATTTGAGATCAATAATCATGATTCACCTCTTTAAAGGAGAATCAATGAAAACACTTGAAGTATTTATTTTCCTCCAAATGTCTCTTATCACATCTTAGAAATTACATATGCACATATATGCATATAGCCGTAATCTGAATTTAACATCACATGCATCTTCTTTGATTATCGGGATCCTTGAAAGATGATTTTTAAAGGCTGAATCATCGTCTTAAGTGCCATGGTTTAGTGAATTGCCCGACAGCCGGTGTAATTACCAGACGCTTAGATCAGAGAATTCCTCCCACATGGCAAAGGCGGAGGATGATGCTAAGCATGCCCACCAGTTTCCTCTCATTGAAAACCCCACCTGCTCCTCTCACTGCGACTGAAGTGAGGAGGTGTTTAGTTCGAAAGGGGCCATTCAGAGCCGGAGACGTCTTCAACTGAAGTCTTGTGTCCCACGTGTACTGCGGGTGGGTGGCTTTCTGGAGTGACTCTGGATGTTCTAAAGAGATGGGAAAGAAGGAACGGATCTGTTCGGGGGCTGCCCTCCACCAGGCCCCGGGTGGCATTCTCTGGGTGGCATTCTCTGGGTGACAGTCAGGGGCAGCAGGAGCCATCGTTTAGGAGGACTGACTGGGAACAGGCACTGCAGGGTGCTCACCACGGCTCCGAGCAGGGGCTACACATTCCGCAGACGGCTAACCGTGGCTCCAGGCCCACAGCAGGCCAGCCACGGAGTCAGGTGGCAGTGAGGTCTGTCCGTGCAGCTTGCTGCTGGCCGGTCCCCACATGCTGCTCAGAGCTTGGCGAGGTCCTGGGGGCAGGGGTGGGTAAGCCATGACCCAACCCAACCAGAGCAGGCACGGAGCCCCGGCCTCCATTCTGAGCGCGGTGATGAGAACAGGGGCCTCACCTCGTTATCCTGACTTAGCAAGTGAGCGACCAGGGGCCGTCCTGCCTGAAGGTCACCCAGCTGTAGGTCACGCACTTCTGTCCCCAACCCCTCTGGTCCTCACTGCCTGGGTGTTGTGTTCCTTTCAGGGGAGATGGAGGAGCTGGAGACTCTGTGGCTCACGGGGATCTGCCACAACGAGAAGAACGAGGTGATGAGCAGCCAGCTGGACATCGACAACATGGCGGGCGTGTTCTACATGCTGGCCGCCGCCATGGCCCTCAGCCTCATCACCTTCATCTGGGAGCACCTCTTCTACTGGAAGCTGCGCTTCTGCTTCACGGGCGTGTGCTCGGACCGGCCCGGGCTGCTCTTCTCCATCAGCAGGGTCAGTACCATGGCTGGCTGCGTCCTGGGGGAGCGGGCAGGTCCAGGAAGCCCAGGAACCCCAGAGGAGTGGGCGGGTTTTACTTCTTTGGGGGTCTGCACACCCTCCCCTCCTCATCCTCCCGCTTGGGTTTGTCAGAAAGGACCCAGGGTTTGTGCACGTCTCACTCAGAAAGGGAACGGGAATGGGGAGGCAGGCTGGGCTGAGGAGAGCAGCCCCGGTGAGGCGAAGCACCCTGGCCACACTGTGGGTCTCCACGGGGGAGCAGCAGGGAGTCCGGAGAACCGGGCAAAAGGCGTGTTATTAACCGAAGGAGGCGGCCGTTCTCAGCTGCCCTCGGGTTGTCTTATGGGAGGTATGGCCGACATTGTGAGGTGCTCTACTTTCAAAAGAGAAAGGGTCCTCTGGTTTTATGTGAAACCAATTTTTAAATATTAGTAACTAATTCCATTTAAAAACTGTAGCCTCCATCCTAAGTACCCACATACGCCAGCCAGTACGTAGACTTCCACGTCATTGTAACTTGATTCGCACCACAAAACAGATCTGCGTCACACGCACGCAACGCGCACAGACTTCTAACAAAACTACGTGCAACCCAGCAGAGCCTGGATGAAACACAGACCTGCAGCACCAGAGAACTCCATGCACATCCACCAGAAAACAGCACACGGCTCAGCACACACAGCTCAGCACAGACAGCTCAGCACAGACAGCTCGACACACACAACACACACAGCTCAGCACAGACAGCTCGACACACACAACACACACAGCTCAACACACAGCTCATCATACACAGCTCAACACACACAACTCAACACACAGCTCATCACACACAGCTCAACACACACAGCTCAGCACAGACAGCTCGACACACACAACACACACAGCTCAACACACAGCTCAACACACACAACTCATCACACACAACTCATCACACACAACTCATCACACACAACTCATCACATACAACTCAATACACAACTCATCACACACAGCTCAACACACACAACTCAACACACACAACTCAACACACAGCTCAACACACACAACATACACAACTCATCACACACAGCTCAACACACAGCTCAACACACAACTCAACACACAACTCATCACACACCGCTCAACACAGCTCAATTCACACAACACACACGGCTCAACACACACAACTCATCACACACGGCTCAACACACACAACACACACGGCTCAACACACACAACAGCACAGGATACACCGCTGCAGTCAGCTCACGGGTGACTCCTGGAAACCCTTCCCAGAGCTCAGTCTGGAAGTGCGCTTTCCTCCCAGGGTACACGTGACGAGTTCCTCCGTAATGGGCCAGGTACATACAGGGACTTTATGTCCTTCCTCTCACTTAGTCTGCAGTCTGAAGGTGAGGAAGGTAGTGCCAGTAGCCCCAGATTTGCAAATGGCAAAATTCGAAAGCGGAGGCTGAGAGAGTTCTCCCGGATCACACAGCCAGCAATGTGGAGACAGGGCTGGAATCCAGCCCTCACTCTCCCACAAACCACAAACCATCACATGTGAGCAACACAGGACATTCATACAGTTCATACTGTGAACACACATGTGCGTGCAACTCACACAACATGCTCACACGTGTGCCACAACCTAGACACACCCCTACCTGTAGTGTAAGAAATGACATACCTGCTATTGTCCATGCATCTTCCAGTCAGTCTATCCACACATCTGTCCATCCATCCATCCATCCATTCTTCCATCTGTACCTATTTCTTCCATTTACCACCTGGTAGGTTTTTTTCACCCTGAAAGAGCTTAATTGAGTTAGAATTTGAAATATGGTTTAAAAAAAAACACTGTTTAAAAACATCTGATTTTATATGCTAATGTTGATTGGGAAAACTAAATAATCACTTTAAAATAAATTTGTGTATTCTTAGCATTCGGCGATTTTAAGAACTTTAGAGATTCGGAAGGTACACATTAGCTTAGTGAGAAAGATTTATTTTCTCCATTCAATAGCACTCCAAACTTGGGTTCTGTGCAAATACATACTTCCTAATTAGCTTGATGGCATCTAAACACACAGATTGCTTAAAAATAACAACGTGCATGCATATAGCTAGGTATTATGCCAACTTTAATTCTCCCAGCCAATTACCAAAGGCTTTTCATATCCAAATGATTCTGGGATTATCTTGAGCAAATGCACACTGTGGCGTTTGCTTGTAAATCCTGCTTGGTTTTGGAAGAGCATTTCCTCTCTCCGAGAACCCCTGAAGGAAGCCAAGTTGATAGGATCATCATTACAAAAATGAGCTAAGTCCCTGGCCCCCGTTCCAAGCCTCCTGGGGGGTAGGAGAGGACAGGGAGCTAGGAGCAGGCTGTGTTGGTGTTGCTGCAGGACAGGGGGATCTGGCCACCCCTTGTAGGGGGAGAGGCCCCTGGTGCTATGTGAGCAGGGACTTCTGGATCCCCATGGGGACTCCCAGGTACCATCACTGCTGTGTCCCCAAAGGCTGCGGGGAGCCCTCCTTGAGTACTGGCTCTCCTTCCCCCAAAATTTCTATTTTAAAGTCAGTGTAACCTGATCTGTATGAGGAGGAAATTCTCGTTCTTATTAATACTTTCCTGCCTCTTGTTTATTAGGGGAGCTCAGAATAGGCTGAGTCGGCTTTGAGTTAAATAAAAAGGCCCTTCCTTTCTGGTCAAGGGCTGCCTCCACCGGCAAAGCTTGCCTCTCAGGCACGTCCACACACTCACCATCTTATGTCCACTCTAACTCACAGCACGGGGAGCAACGCCCAGGCAGAACCCCGTTCACTGGGTCCACGCAATCATCTGCTTAAAATGAAACAAAACCCCGCAGTAGGGAATTTGCAGCAACAGCTGCACATAGTGTGTTCACTGCAGGCCTGGGCCAGGGGCGTCCCCTCCAAACTCTCCAGTCTCCACAGCACCCAGTGAGGCTGCCCCGATCCCACCCGTCCTGCAGCGGGAGGTTGAGGCTCCCAAGGCCACAGTGGGACCTGGGCTTCACTGTTCTCCTGAGATAGCAGGGCGCTGCACACTCCACCCAGAGGCTAGACCTCTCAGGCAGAGGTGGTCACATGCATCAGTCGGCTTCAGAGACTGGGCTCCTTTCTAAGGAAGCTGATCCCTGATGCTCTGAAATTTACATGCCCCAAGCGGACAGTGTCTGCATCGATCCTAGCTCTTCTCATCCTCGTTCTCCTGTGAGCACAGTGAACATCCAGCCAGTAGACGAAGCCCTGGGCTCTCAGCGGGCAGCCCACCCTCCCCGCGGGCAGCCCACCCTGAGATACTCCAGAGGGCGCAGCGCAAATGCCAGCCGAGTTTCAGGCACCCGTGGCGCTGCCAAGGGACGTGGCTGGAGCTCAGAGGAGACACTGATTTAACCTGGGAGCCGAGTTCTCGTACAGCGGTAGCCCCTCCCTCCCCCCCCTTTCTCAATGTCTTACAAAAACGCTCCCTCCTGTCTTGGGGTGCTCTTTCCTTTGGTTTTCTCTACAAAACACTTTCTCTTCTACTTAGACAAAAATGCTCACTGTCACCAGCAAAAAGAAAATAAATAAATAAAAATAAAAATAAATCACCATGGGGCTGGGCACGGTGGCATGCACTTGTAATCCCAGTGGCTCGGGAGGCCGAGGCAGGAGGATTGCAAGTTCAAAGCCAGCCTCAGCAACTCAGTGAGGCCCTAAGCAACTCAATGAGATCCTGTCTTTAAATAAAATGCAAAATAGGTAGGGCTGGGCGTGTGGCTCAGTGGTGGAGGGCCCCTGAGTTTTCAATCCCCTCCTTTACCAAAGGGGAAAAACAAACAGAGCCGCAGAGAGAGCCACCAAGATTGCCACCCAAAGTGCTAGGAGTGGGAGGTGCAGCGAGCCACAGGCCAGGACGTGGGACGCACCTGGTGGCCCTGCAGTCAGGGCCACAGAAGTTAGACGCGTGAGGGTCGGGGCCCAGCAGGGGAGGCACCTGGGGGAGCAGCAGAGGGCCTGCCCCAGGGAGGGGGCCCATGTGTCCCCTCTGAGCCCACTGAGGGGACAAGAGGGCATCTTACTCCCATGGCCCCATGAATAACAGAGAAGAGAGGGGTTCAGGGAGGAAAGCCACCCTGTCCAGGGGCTCATTTGGCCCCCAGGTAGGATCTGGGCCCCATCTTCAGTGGGACAGAGCAGTGTGTGTCCCTGCAGCTTCTGTGGAATGGGCTCTGCGGGCTCCAGCCAGGGTGAGAGCAGGCCAGGGCAGGTCACAGCCACAGGACAGGCATCCAGGTGACAGTGACGGAGCACACACTGTGCTGGGTGCTTTCCTGGCATCATTTTATGTTGCCCCCGCGTCCACGGAGGAGGGCACAAGTCCCACTCACAGACCTGGGAGCTGAGGCCCTCAGGGGTGCAGAGTGACCGTCCAAGGCCATGCAGATGATGGATGTCAGAGCTGGGACCCGTGTCCAGTGGGTCCCAGGCCTCCGACTCTTCCAGTTTTCCTGTGATGTGCTCCTGTCCTCCTGGGCAGTGATCTGGAAGGCCACTCAACTCATTTGGAGGATGCGGTCATCCAGACCTGGCTGCTCCTTCCCTCTGCCTCCTGTGCCTGGGACCTGCCTTAGCGGTGTCTCCTGAGTCCTGGAAGCCCAAGGCAGCCCCCACCCACCTCCTGCCACCAGCCCAGCTCCTGACTGGGCCTCCTGCAGCACCATAGGGGCCAGCTCACCCTGACCGGTGGGAGCAGATTGCTCTGAGGGAGAAGGGAGGGAGAAAATTTCTAGAATCTCCAGGCAGAGAAAGGGAGCTGGTTAAAATAAAACTGCAAATTTAGAAAAAAACAAATTAAACTAGTGTTTTCATAATGTTGAGAACAAGAAGGAAAAGCGCAGTCATCAGCCGATTCTGACGTCAGGAAGCACCTGATCTCCATCCAGAGGAGCAGCACCCCCCTAGGCCAGAGCTAAGGAGCAGCACCCCCCTAGGCCGGAGCTAAGGAGCAGCATCCCCCAGGCCAGAGCTAAGGAGCAGCACCCCACTGTAGGCCAGAGCTAAGGAGCAGCACCCCACTGTAGGCCAGGGCTAAGGAGCAGCACCCCCCAGGCCAGAGCTAAGATGGTTATATCACTAAACGGGGCAAGGAGGCACAGGTGCGCGGCAGGTTCGGTGGCACCTGGGACATTGCAGGACTTTCACACCCACAGTGTGGGTGCTCCAGAGCCCTTCCAGCAGTGAGGAGGATGAACAGCCAACCACACAGGCCCCAGAGGGGGACGCAGGTTAAAGCCACAGGCCAGCATCCGGGGCCTCGGAGGCTCGGTGGAGAGGGTGAGAGGAATGCTCCAACCCACAAGGGTGGGCCTTCTGTTGGCCATTCCAAAAAGGCTGCTGTGGAAACCGTCTTTAGAAATGTCCAGAAAAAAGCGGCCGTGCAGATGAGTGGAGGCTGCCACAGTCCCCGAGCGTCCCTGCGGGGTGAGCTGGTCAGAGTCAGTTAAACACACAGACCTCCCGTAGCTCACGCCACAGTCCGCAGCAGCTGCTGAATCCGCTGTGCAGGTCCCTCCCGGGGTTGTCCTGTCTCGGGAGGACCTGCAGCCCGGAGCTGATTGTTTCCTTTAGGTACAGCTGCCAAAGTCTGGGGTAGGGGTGGGAGAAAGTGGGCGGCCACACATCAAATGTCGTGGATGCCCTCTTGCCTGTTACAGGGCATGAATCAAGAGCTTGTCCCTGACGACAGCTAAGCAGTCGTTATTGGGTTGTTGTTTTTTCAAGTGCTGTCAGGACCTCACACCCGCTAGGCAAGCCCTCTGCCACTGAGCCTCGCTCCTGGCCCTAAACAGACACTTTTAAGTGAAAACAGAAAACAAAGCTATTCCTGGTAGAGCAGCACACGCCTGTGATCCCAGCAGCTTGGGAGGCTGAAGCAGGAGGATCGTGAGTCCAAAGCCAGCCTCAGCCACTTAGACCCTGTCTGTAAATAAAATATTAAAAAGGCTGGGGATGGGGCTCAGTGGCGAATCACCCCTGAATCCTCAGTACTGAAAAAAAAAAACTAAAAAGTTATTTCTAAGAAAGGAGTGGAAAATGAGGAGACTTAGAGGTGATAGTGTCATACTTCAGCTGCCCGGGAGTCCCTAAGTCCTTCAGTCCCCTGGACGGACTGAACGGAGGCGTCTCTGTGTCATGGGAACCCAATTCTGAGTGCATGGCACAGACTCACACACAGAGCAGGTTGATAACAAGTCAAGGAGGGCGACTCCAGGGTTCAAGCCACTTCACCTGGTGGCCACCCCTTCGGCAGCCCCACAGCATGGCCAGCTGGCCTGCCACGGTCCTGTTCCAGCGGCTGTGTCTGTCCCTCCACGAGGGGTCTGACTGCCTCCTGGGGAGCTCATCCTCCCTTCAGTGTGTCCCAGGACAGGGGGTCTCTCGGGCCTCTTTTGGCTCCTCTGGCTCCGTGCCTTGATCCCTCGCTGGCTTCCGCACACAGGCGGGTGATTCCGGAAGAGAATCCATTGTGAGTGACCCGGGCCTGGGCACTTGGATTCTTTGTCCATAGCTAACTCTCTGGTGTCCAAACTCCAGAGACGCTGCTAGAGAACTTGGATAAGTCTGGCTCTGTGCTGCGGGTGTTGGGGGACCGACCGAACGTCCTGGTGGGTCAGTCCTGAGGCACAGAGACTCACGGTTGTGTGAAGGTCGGTGATTCCTTCCCTCAAACGCCACGTGTGACTCGAGGCCAAGGTGGTGCTGAGCCGGAGCTGTCGGATAAACCTGAGGCCTTCTGAGTTGAGGTTCAGTGAGGGGTTCACCAGGGGTCAGAGGGCGCTGTTGCGTCTCCGGGGTTCCCATAGGAAGTTCGCCTCCCCTCTGTGGGTGAGGTCCGGGTGGGCACGGTTTGGCACCCCGGGACTTGCTGACGGCTGTTGGTCCTGCTCCCTCACAGGGCATCTACAGCTGCATTCACGGAGTGCACATCGAAGAGAAGAAGAAATCCCCAGACTTCAGCCTGACGGGCTCCCAGAGCAACATGCTGAAGCTCCTTCGGTCGGCCAAGAACACGTCCAACATGTCCAACATGAACTCCAGGCTGGACTCGCCCAAAAGAGCCCCGGACTTCGTCCAGAGAGGGTCCCTCATCATGGACATGGTCTCGGACAAGGGGAACCTCATCTACTCGGACAACAGGTCCTTTCAGGGCAAGGACAGCATCTTTGGGGACAACATGAGTGAGCTCCAGACGTTCGTCGCCAACAGGCACAAGGACAACCTCAACAACTACGTGTTCCAAGGCCAGCACCCTCTCACCCTCAACGAGTCCAACCCCAACACGGTGGAGGTGGCCGTGAGCACAGAGTCCAAGGGCAACTCCAGGCCCCGGCAGCTGTGGAAGAAGTCCATGGAGTCCCTGCGCCAGGACTCTCTGAGCCAGAACCCTGTGTCCCACAGGGACGAGGGGACCACGGCCGAGAACAGGACCCACTCCCTAAAGAGCCCCCGGTACCTTCCCGAAGAGGTGGCCCACTCGGACATCTCCGAAGCGTCCAGCCGTGCCACGGGCCACCGGGAGCTGGACAACAAGAGCCACAAGACCAAGGACAACTTCAAGAGGTCCCTGGCCTCCAAGTTCCCCCAGGACTGCGGCGAGGTGGAGCGCACCTACCTGAAGACCCAGGCGGGCTCGCCCAGGGACAAGATCTACACCATCGACGGGGAGAAGGAGCCCAGCTTCCACCTGGACCCGCCCCAGTTCGTGGAAAACCTGGCCCTCCCGGAGAACGTGGGCTTCCCGGACACCTACCAGGACCCCCACGAGAACTTCCACAAGGCGGACTCCACGCTGCCCCTGAACCGCAACCCGCTGCGCAGCGAAGACGGCTTTCCCAACAACGACCACCAGTACAAGCTCTACGCCAAGCACTTCACCCTCAAAGACAAGGGGTCCCCCCTCAGCGAGGGCAGCGACCGCTACCGCCAGGGCTCCACCCACTGCAGGAGCTGCCTCTCCAACCTGCCCACCTACTCGGGCCACTTCACCATGAGGTCCCCCTTCAAGTGCGACGCCTGCCTGCGGATGGGCAACCTCTACGACATCGACGAAGACCAGATGCTGCAGGAGACGGGGAACCCCGCGCCCCGGGGGGAGGAGGCCTACCAGCAGGACTGGACGCAGAACAGCGCGCTCCAGTCCCAGAAGAGCAGACTGAGGATCAGCCGCCAGCGTTCCTACGACAACATCCTGGATAAGCCCAGGGAGATGGACCCGGGCCGGCCCCCCCGGAGCATAAGCCTCAAGGACAGGGAGCGGCTGCTGGAGGGCCACTTGTACGGGAGCCTCTTCAGCGTCCCCTCCAGCAGACTCTCGGGCAACAAGAGCTCCCTCTTCCCCCAGGGTCTGGAGGGCAGCAAGAGGAGCCAGTCTCTGCTGCCAGACCACACCTCCGACAACCCCTTCCTCCACTCCCACGCCGATGACCAGCGCCTCGTGATCGGGAGATGCCCCTCGGACCCCTATAAACACTCGTTGCCCTCGCAGGCCGCGAACGACAGCTACCTTCGATCGTCCCTGAGGTCCACGGCTTCGTACTGCTCCAGGGACAGTCGGGGCCACAGTGATGTGTATATTTCGGAGCATGTTCTGCCTTATGCTGCAAATAAGAATAACATGTACTCTACCCCCAGGGTTTTGAATTCCTGCAGCAATAGACGCGTGTACAAGAAAATGCCTAGTATCGAATCTGACGTCTAAACTCTCCCATTACTGTCTTATCACAGGGAAACACGGCGTGGCGCGCGCTCTGGAGGGTGCATGTGGCCGTCCGACAGTGCCCTGCAAGGAGGAGGAGGGCTGAGAGAGGTCATTTTTGTTGGCTCTTTTGCACATGGCTCATGCCATAATCTTTCACTCAAGGAATCTTTGAGCTGTGTGCTGAGCACAGCAGAAACCAGAGAGTTGAGTCCTTAACCAAAAACAAACAAGAAAGAGGGCAGGTCTCCGGACATGCCTTACCAGGTGTGTTGGCAATAATGGCCCAGGAGTGTCGATGGCGACGTTAGGGTTCCCTGTATGCAGACCCCATTCACATCGGCCCACCATGTAATTTCCTCATCTGAAATGCCCAATGGTTTCTCTAATACAGAATAAGCAATATGGTATGCATGTGACCCTGACACAGACCATAGGACAGTTAGGACCGCACCTGCACGGGAGCGAGGTGCACCTGTGCGGGAGGTTAGGAAGCCCGGCTCGTGACCGTTCTCACTTTATTGTTATGCTGCCCCCCATGCCCAGGCCCGACCCCGAGAGCCCCAGGCTCCCCCAAGAATAGCAGATCAGCGTGTGCGTGGCTCCTCCGCTCCCTTCACCACGTCCCTCCAAGACACAGCTGGAGCGAAACGCCACAGGGACTCTCAGGCGGAGCCACAGGGACCTCTCTGGATGTCGATGTGCGTTTTCCTCTCATCCCGGGCTCTGATGGTCTTGCTCAGAGCCGCATAAACTAACGCGTGTGTGTCTTCGATACCTAAGTGTGGACCTGTCCGCGACACAGTGGCCGTTGTAGTTGACCCCGAAGACTCCTGTGTACGTAAGTTAGCATTTCCTCCCTTCTGGTGACGACTCAGGGTTGTATAGTATCTGTTACCCCAACCCTCCCAGCGGAACCGTAACTTGTCCCGTCCCCCGAACAGCCATGGTGGTGTCTAATTAGCTGTGTGTTTCTGTTCCCAGAGTTGTTAATGTGGTGACACGTGCCAACAGCCATATGCGTACAGTGATCTGTCAGGAGCACCGTGCCATCTGTCTGCCCGAGCCTAGCATGGTTTTAGGTCTATCTTCCTTAATGTCACAAAACGCTCTTGGACGCCCATTTCCACCCCAACCTCCTCAAATCAAAAGTCTCCAAAACATGAGACACTCATGCCTCCTCCCTGAGCACCCCCAAACTGTGGATGAAGTGAATCAGGAGCCGAGCGCTCTCTGCTGAAACACACACACACTCTCTCTCCAAGGCAAACTGCCTCGTCAGCACCAACAGAAATATGTGAAACCCCCCCCCCCAGACGCGTTTGTCTCATCTCATTCTTACTCTGCTAAACCCGGGCACGCACGGCACGGGTGACTCTCGTTATCAGAAACAGTTGGAGGCAGAGAGGGGAATATTTACACTTGGGAAACTTCTTAGCACAGCACCTGCCGCATTAAAAAAAAAAAAAAAAAAAAAAGCAAACAGAAAAAATAACGGTCGTTGTTATTTTATGACACTTTTTCAGACCAGAATTTTCTAGTTTCAAAATCAAATATCATGAAACCAGCAAACGATATGCCTGAAACATTTTGTATGGATCTACTCTATTAGTATATTTTAAATACACCACTATCCTGGAAACAGTCGGGCTCGTAGCCCTCCGTTTGTGCAGGGGACCTGTCTCCTTGGTCGCCTCCTGCGAAACCTGGGCCGTGGTGGACCCAGCCTGACCATTTCCCGGTTCTTGCCGACGTTTGCTTGGGCTCTTGGAGAAGGAAGCAGGGTGGCAGGTTGACCGAAAGGACCCGTTTCTTCCCCTCAGGCTGCGTTCTGTTCCACAGGCAGCGTTGTTCTCCAAGCGGACGGAGGCTGGGGATGGCTCTCACTCTCTGGAAAGGTGCCCTGCCCCTGACACTCCCATCGTGTTGAGAAGGAGCTGGGATGAATCTGAGGGTCGGCCGTAGGCAGCAGAGGAGGCCTGGGAGGGGGAACATGTTCCTATCGTCTCAGGCAGAGGAGGCGGAGGTGGTGCGCGTGACCCACGGGCTTGAAAATGACATTTTGTTTCTTGGATGCTGCATCTTTTCCAGACCCCAAAATGGGGAGACCTAGATTAAAGGACCTGGGATGGTCACCCCTATTCCTGGCCTTGATTTAAGTTTCTGTGGCTGCGCCGTCTCTAGCCCCTTCTGACTCTGCCCTCCCATCGCCTCCCAGCCCTGGGCTCACCCAGAGGAGGCCACTGCCATGTCCTCATGAGCCTGGCCTGTCTTAACACCAATCCAAAGAGGCTTCCTGTCTTCCTCGGGTGTCCCCAGAGCCCAGGGCGCTGCCTCATGCCACACCCAGTCTCCACGGAGAGTGACAGCACGGTTGGGCTGACTCCCTCCGTCAGCAAGCCTTCCCCGAAGATCAGCCTCGCTGGCTGCTGACCCCAGACATTTATGGAGGAAGACACTGAAAACGTGGCTTTGGGGAAACGCCCACAGTCGTATGGTGGGAGAAACAGACTTCTCTTCGTATCCGAGGTGTTTTGAAAGCTAGTCACAGTGAAAACAGTTGGAAGTTAGAATCTGTGCCACAGACACGTTTTCCACCCCCCGTTCTCTCACTGAACTTAAAGGCCATGGCTTCAACAGGAAGGTCAGCCACTGGCCGGACGGGCAGGTTCCAAGTGAGAGGCCGTACTGTGAAGCGATGCAGAGGGAGCCCAGGTCAGTTCAGTTCTTTCAAGAAGTAAAACCAGAGACGTGGCGCCCATGAGAAATGGCACCAGAGGTGAGGGGAGCTCACGGGAGCCCTGAGCTCTGCACCCGTTACAGAGGGCTCCGCGCCATCCCAGCCCGGAGATCTGGGCGGCTGATGCCGTCTCAGCAGAGCGCCCAGGTTTTACCCGGGTTAAGTCAGAGCTGCCGTCTCCTGACATTTCAGTGACCACAAGTGACTTCCCCTTCTGTGCCAATCCTCAGAGAGGTGCACGGGGATGCGATGGCCAGGTTCCCGCCCGTGGGTGGTAGCACACACGGTCACCTAATTGAGAATATCCTGTGGGAGAGTCTTCTGGGCAGAAACTCGACTCTGGGAGCCTTGCTGTTCAGGAAAGTCGTTCCCGCCAACCTTGCACCTGCGGGTTCTGGGGCTGTTTGTGGCTCTCTTCAGCGCTCCAAGCAGACAGTTCCCAGAGGGTCCGTCTCCCCACCAGTGAGGGTCCAAGAGCTGGAGGGATTATAACCCCACCATCCCGTCCACCGCTCTCCGTTACTTTACCCACCACCACAAATGAGTGTCTCACGGATTCTCCTTGGTCTTCTCATCTTATTTCCCAGGAAAGACCTCATACTTAGCTTTTCTGATGAAAACATTAAAATTCACCCATTGCGGCAAAATCTGTCACATCAATTCACGCTTACTTTCTGGGGAGAAAAAAAAAAAAAAGAAAAGTACACCTTGTTTACAAATGAAATAGTTTCATTTAAATGGGACTTGAGCCAAGGTGGTTAATTAGTCAAAAGATCCACAGTCGTCAGCGGGCACACATTGTTTATTCCATTTGATATGTCTACTACGGATGTGTATTTAATATTCTGCATCCTTCTCAGGAAATGACAAATGCCCTGAATTCTTTGCAAATAGAATTGCTAATGAAAAAGAGAAAAAGAAAGTTGGTGTTAATTAAATGGTGATTAAAAATTTATCTCCTTTAAACCTAAAAAGTGCAGCTTTAATAATCGGTCGTCATATAAATAAATACCTTGCACTGAAATCCCTTGCGGTTTAAGACCTAAATAAATACTAATTTGACGAAACGTAAATGCCCTTCAGAGGAGCTGAATAGGTTCCTTAGCAGGATGCACATGTCTGGACTGTGTCTCTGTGCGGAGCGGTGATGCGTGAATCCTTGAGGGATCGCGGGTTGTTTCCGAAACGGAGCCCTTGTCTGTGTGGACCCTGGCTGCCGTAGACAGAGTTGAACTTAAAAAAAAAAACAAAGATGGAAGTGGGTGGACGCTCCGTCCATTGGCTGGTTTGTGATGTGCTAGGTCCCAGGCAAGGTCTGTCTTCCTTCCAGCTGCATCGTTTTATGTCGACTTGAGTCAAAACCAGGCCCTTTCCCGATACTTCATCTTTTTTGCTAAACAGGGTTGAAAAGTGCCAATGGAAAGATTATTCTGGGTCCATACTTGAAAAGTCGTCCCAATGCACGGCTTCCCTTGCCCCCCGCGCCCCCCCATGCTGCACTGTGTTCATCTGTCTTTGTCCATTTGGGTTCTGCTTTGCCACCTGGTGTCTGTCAGCTCAGAGCTGGGAACACCAGTGCCGTGTACCATGTATATAATAGAGGCCTGATCCCTGCAGTCCACACCCAGGTGTATTCTCCCAGCGGGGTTGTGCATATGTACAGCGTGTGTTAAAAAGCCAGCGGCAGTGCTGGCGCTGACACCGGGAAACCCCGGTTGGTGGTCTTCCCGTAGAGAAGGCATTCTATATTTTTTTAATCTCAGTTCTAGGGAGGGTAACAGAGCCCGAGTGGGGTTTGGGGTGTTGGTATTCTTGGTCCCTTGAAAGGCAAAACTCTGGGGTGAGCCATCGTGGAGTAGGTGCTGTTTACATTAGTTCTAAAGAGGACGCTGACGTGGGCTTGGATTTCTCTAAACCCATCCAAAGACATAGATTTCCTCCCTAGATCCCTCACCCTCCTCCCCACCCCTGCATTTCTGTGCCTAGAAGTGCCGAAGGCATAGAGTCGCCAGGAGACGCCTGCCCGGAGGGTCTGAGGAGAGACAGAGTTCGTGGGACTGCACGGGACCTGGGTGGGGAAGGAGGAGGCAGATGACGGGGCAGGGATCCGGGGAAGACTGGCGAGGGGCCGGAGCCGCCCGCCGCGGGGTCTCGTTTCTGGCTCTGCTCCCCTTTCCAGGCTGACCCCCTTCTAGGTCTTTCCAAGGAGGACCCTTCTGAGAACCTCGGGTCAGAATCATAAAGGCCCACTGACCTGGCTTCCTGTGCCCTGTGCAGACAGACCCGCGAAGCCCCCGTGACCTGGGTTTCCTACAAACTCTCACTCTCCCTCATTTTCCCAGGGCCTTTCTCCCTGAGAAAGACCCACAAGGGATGTGGCTTGAAACCGTGAACCAAAGATGACATCTGGCAGCCATCCTTGAAGTCATAGCGCTACTTCCCATGCACCGAGGTTGAACCAAGTACCTTGGTCACCTGACGGGACTCGACGGAGGGTCCACTCTCCTTTGAAGTCCACTTTGGTCTTAGGAGGCTATGAAGGCGATGGAAAATACAGTCTCTTTCAGAAGTAGCTTGTGATTTGGAAATTCCGTTCCTTAACGTGGAAGGTAACTAAGACCACCTGGACGGCAAACGCAGAGCAAACAGTACGGGTTAGAAAGGATTAATGGAGTTGTTGCCAAGAGGTAAAAATGAATCCGACCCCAAGATCAACCTTTAAAAAAAAAGCTCTCCCCTGTACTCACTGCTCCTGGAAATGCCCCGATGTCCGAGACGCCCGGGAGGTGTCTAGGGACCCAGGAGCATCCAGCCAGGAGGGTGATTCACCCTCCACACCCCTGCACTGGCAGGCTGGGCCGGTCCTCCAGCCCTGGCCAGATCACCTCCCCCAGCTCTGCTGAGCGACATGTGCTTCAGAAGGGGGTCGGAAGAACCCTGCAAGGATTAGAAAATGCACCGTGAGGGGCAAGGCGGAACAGTTCCCCAAGGCTCTTTTGTCTGGTTTTGGACTTTGAGGAACACTTTTGACAGTCCAGGGCATAAGTGTATCAGGGAGGACCAGGGAGGACCAAGTGCCTACTGTTGTGGCTGGAGACGGGAGGCTGCAGGTTCCCTAGAGAGACGACACGGGGCGTCTACGCGTATTTGGGGAGGACCGGCCGGGTGGAGAGGGGGACTTATTTTACCCTGTCCAACCCAGTTCTGTGCAGTACAGAGATGTTAGACTCTGTTTATCACAAGTACACACCATGTGTCAGCAACTGAATCTGGAAGTATCAAAATATACCCACACGGAGTATAGAATATATTCTAGGAACATTCTAGAATGAGGTCCTCAAAATAGCCATAGGATAGCAGGATGATTGCTCCCATTTTGCAGATGAGGAATCTGAGGCTTGGTTGTTCTCAGCCTCATCAGAAACTAGAGTCAGCTGATAAATCCCCGATGTTGGACACATTCTCGAAGTGCCCGATCTCCTGCAGGGAGGTCAGAAGAGGGTCGGGGAGAGAGCTGCTGTGTGCTGGTCCCGGGCCCTCAGAGTCAGGAATGGACCGTGTCCATCACACGGGGGGTCTCACCTCTGTCCACAGTCCCCCCGAGACTCGAGCATTGTCTGTCCTCTCCTCCTTCATAGGAGTGCAGTCAGCATTTATTTTTTTGGTTCCTGAGAAGTTATTTTTTCTCTTTAGCATGTGCCTAATCTTGAACATCCCTTCCCACTCTCTCCTGACTTTAAAGTTGGCATCAGGGCTTGTTGCATTAGACATATGTACATAGTGTGCTCGCGTGTGTAGACGCGCGCGCGCGCGCACACACACACACACACACACACACACACACACACTGCCTTGTGGCCCTTCGTTGAAGCTCTCCTAAACATCGTGACCCATTTTTAAGGAGGTGATGTCATTTGCAAGGTGAGCGTCCCTCCTCTTTGTTCTGCGTCCGCTCCTCTCTGCCAGGCAGGTAGAGTGAGGCTCAGAGGCTGGCGAGGTCGAGGACAGAGGTTTGCATGAGGGCTGGGGAGCTTCAGGAGTCGGGTGGCTGGGGGCCGGCGGCCCAAGTGCTCTGTTGGTGTTTCCCTTCTTGGTCTGCTGTGACGTTTCCTAATTGCCTTAGAGTGACTGTTCAACCGCTGAGTGCTTCTTCTCTTTGTCCCGCGAAGGAGAGTCATTGAGTTGGAATAATTCCCTGGGCTCAGGAGCCCCGAGGATCCGGTGTGGAATGCACCTTGTAGACGATGCTCCCGGGCACCCACCTGTCTTCTTGGGCATCCTTCTCCTCCCACGTTCAAAGCCACGCTTCTTTTCTGGCACCCACAGTTACTGTGAGGTGAGGCACGCGGACCATGGTATAGATGAGGAGTCTGAGCAGGGATTCTAAAGGATGTCTTTCTGGGAGGCTCCGTGGTCGATCCTTCTGGGGGGTCAGTGAACCCGTGCAAGTGCCCTTCTCCCACTCCCTGAGAAAACGTAGCCGAGACAGAGAGCTGTGGATATTTAACAGCTATTTTGAGATCCTGTTGCTGTCTGCAAGTGCAGGACGATGTTCTCCCAGGGATGTTGAGCTATGCAGAAAGTGGAGCGCCCCAAAGAATGATCTGGCCAACAGCATGACTTTGGAGCCATATTTCAAAGCACAGAACTCTCCAGGGAACAAGAACCAAATTGTTTAAAATGGAGTATTCCTCAAATTAACTTCCTCAGATAAGGTGACAGCGGTCTGCAGAAACCAACAAGACAGAGCAGATTATCACTCACAAGTCCCTCTTCTGTACTGTGCCAGGCAAACAAGGCGTTTGCATTTTTTGCAGTTCTAGAACATTCCTCATTAGTGGTAGCCCCGGGTCATAACCTCTTCCAGTTAATTCTCCTTCAGACCTTTGGGACGGGTTTAAGATGAACCCTGGAAAGATATTAACATAACACATAGCCAAAGCCGCAGCTGCCTTTTAAATTAATAAGGTTAATTGTTCTCCAGCAAACATGAGTTCGTCTTCGGCATTTTAAATGCTTCTCATTGATCTGACATTTTGCCGTTTCAGGATTTTAAAGGGCTCGAATCAAAGAGTATTGATAACTGAGCAAGTAGCAAAGATCCAGAAATATAAAAAACATTGTCAGTTCCGCCATGAAAACCAGCCGCGTAGCCTTTGGAGTTCAGTTGAGGTTTTTACATTAGCCCTCTAAGACTTATCGAATCATCTCTATTCTCGGTCAAGCTGATTCAAGCGAGTGAACAGTATTGACTTTTTAAATCTATTTTACCTTTTTTTTAATCTTAAGTTTATTAGGTTTGTAGACACAGCTCTGGGGCCATGATCACTAGGGAAATGATAGAACTGAGAAATAGAAGACTCCAGTGATGACTTTGTATGGCCCCTCGGGGTCGTCTTGGAGAATTCTCGTGGATTGGGAAAGATGAATGTGGCACTGGTGACATTCATGCTGCCCTGATTTTTTTCATGGGGAAGGACGTCAACTGTCTTGACTCTTTTCAAGATCTTAAGTCAAGAATAACATTTCATAGGAAGTGCACTCACTGACAGGTAATTACGTGGCTAGATGGGACTTGGTTGCTTGAGGGTCCCTAAAGGTTTTTTTTTAACCAGCTGTTTTAAAATTCTGAATATCAATCTTATTCGTCCCCCTGCTAAATTTAAAAGCATACACTTGCCAAATTAATGGGTAGAATTCATCGTCGTTGATGTCACACTGGAATGTCTGTGTGTGTGTGTTTATGTATAGTATATCTATATTTCAAGCTGAATATTCAGAAAGAATTAGATGAGTTCATGGGTGGCTTGAATAAGAAGTAGATCATAAAAATCAAAAATAATGATATTCTCAGACAAAAATAAAGATGAGCCATTTATTTTCCACTCGTGGTGTATAAGACCGTGGCGTAGGGTATGGACTGGTCATCTCCCAGAAGAAGGTCATTGCACGAAACAGCGTATACTGCAGGGTTTGTGTCTGAGTCTGCTTTGAACCCAGTCGGGATGGAGCTCATAGGCAGAGGCTTTCCATTCATAGCTACCTTCAAGCACCGTCCAAAACCCACATCAGAAGTGGCTTGATCTCGTGTCCGGTGGAGCCCAAAGCGAGCTGCGAGCCCCTGGGCTCAGTGGTCTTCGTGTGGGTTAGGTCTCACTCACCAACCACAGCGGTTTCTATCTGTCATGTTTAATCCACTGCATGAGGAAGTACTGATAACCGTATTAAATATTTCCAAGCATAGCTACGAAAATCTCACGTTTGCTTAACACCTTTCTACGGTAGAGGAAGCATCTACTATGGTTGTCTTCTTGTAGTACGTCTTTTAGTTTTGTTCAATGTGTTATCAACTGTTTTAAGGAATGGGATTATGAAATGTGTGTGCAAACTGATGTGTACATAAATCCCGAGGCAAAAGAAGTGCCCAATCACACGGTGTAAAAATGTAAATACAGGAAAATTTCATTTTTCTAATAAAGATAATTTCTGCCAATTGATATGAAAATGAGAAATGGAGTTGTGGTCTTTGTTGTCCTGTCTTTGGCTGCTACGACCCCAGGTGGCGGCAGGGAAATGACCTGATCTCCCCCCTTGACACTGGAAACTGGGAGAATCCAGGCCTGGCTTCAGGGTTCCAGCCTCGAGCTTGGCCTCTGGGCGTCTCCTGGGCCCATCTTCCTGTGCAGCTCCCTCTCTGACGGCCCTGACCTTCACCAAGGGCCACCGTTCACCTGGCCGAGACCAGGCAGGGCCTCCCGGGCCCCACTCTCTGCCTGGGGAGTGATTCGTGGGACTGCCATCAAGACCCAGAGCTGCTCTCAGGAAGGCTTCCGCAGGCAGACCTGGGGGTCATCGTCCCCCGGGACTTCCTGTGTCCCTCCTACTCCTGCGATGGCCTAACCCATCCTCTTGTGTCCACCCTGGTCTCCACGTCCACCTCTCCTCCAGAAGTAAGCGTGAGAGGCCCCGACTCACTGCCTCCTGGTCCTCAGCACCTTCCATTACAGTCAGAATAAAATCCAGACTCCTCCCCGCAGTCCCGGAGCCAGGTCCTCTCCTCCCACGGCCAGGGCTGCCCCACACAGCCCCCTCAGGCCCGGCCAGACTGACGCTCTCTCACACGAGGGCTCGCAGGGCCTTTGCTCCCGCCTCTCGCGCCCGCTCCGTCTTCTCAAGACTCACTCTTCATCCCATCCCAGGCTCTGCTCAACCCCCGGCCACCTCCTCTCTAACAGAACCCTCCGGTCACTCTCGACTTCCTCACGTTCGTCTCTTGTCCTCACAGCACTTGCTGCTACCTGAGGTTTGATCATGGCTCATGTTCATTTGTCCACGTTGTCCTCTGTCTTCTTCCCTGAAGGAGAGCAGGAGAGTGGTTTGTCACCGTCCCTGCTCAGACCCCAGCACACGGTGCAGCACGGTGACTAGGACACGGTGGGGATCAGTGAATATTGTACAGAATGGGTACCTAGTGTGTGGATGGACGGACAGATGGACGGACGGATGGGTGGGTGGACCGACGGATGGATGGGTGGACGGACGGACGGACGGATGGGTGGACGGATGGATGGATGGATGGATGGGTGGACGAATGGACGGATGGGTGGATGGATGGATGGGTGGACGAATGGAC